TGCAGAGATTAGCCAAATGGGGCCACTAGGTTTGTTAAGGTTTCAAATAAATGAATATACTGTTGCATAGAGAGGTTAAATATGTTACCTGAATTCACACAGTTGGGAAATAATGAAGCTGTCAGGAACCTAGCGCCATCTGATTCCGAAGCCCATGCTTTTCATGGACAATACAATCTACGTTTTACCACAATAGATTAGAAAGCTTCCTTGCCTTGACTCCCCAACAAGAGAGGTAACAAAGGGAGAATTTCTACTCTGAACTTAACTTTGACTAAGGCTGAGAAATTAGTTGGTAAAATGGGAAAATGGTAGAAATGCCAGGAAGAGGCAATCCTGTTATCCTGGAGTCTGGGTAGTCAGACTTATATCATAGACTTTAACCCAAATCATAAGATCATATATTTGAAAAACTAATAAGAAATATTCTTTTCCCTAAAAAGAAAATAGACCACACAAAGGTCTAATGATAAATAAAGGGATCCAGAAAGACCTCATTGCAGAAGTACCATTTGAGCTGAGTTTTTCAGGATGGGGGAGGGTTTGAACATATGGTGAGAGAGGAGAAGGGACAATATGAACAAAGGTTCAAAGGTGTGGCAATTTAAAGTTTGTATATTAATTTGGCTGGACTCTATGGTGCGTGAAAGGGAATGATGGGAGATGGACTAGAGTCTGAATACCGGCTAAGGAATATGGACTTTAAAGTATAATCAATTATAAGCCACAAAATATCTTTAAGCTGAAGAGTGGCAGGATCAGTGCTGTGTCTCAAGAAGATTAAACTGGTGGCAGTATATAAAATGGACTGGGAAGGGAAACACTAAAGGCACTGAGACAAGAGATTATTGCAACATTACAGGGAAGAGGTAAACAGACTCTGAACTAGGATGGTGATGATAAGAATGGAGAGGAGAAAAACATGCAGCAGATGCTACGGGGAGAGAACAGGCAAGGCTTACGTCGCTGGGTATTGGCACCTCCGAAAAACATGTGGCAGTCAGGGGAGTGCTTCAGGAAGATTAACGGCGTCTAACAAACAGGGCAAATTAGAAGAGGGAGAGATTGGAGGTAGGGAAACTAGTTAGGAGTTTACTGAAGAAGTCTTGGTGAGAATAAACAGTGGGGACAGAAAGGAAAGGACAGTTACAACTCATGAGAAGAAAACTGATATGACTTAGTGATGAAGTAGGTGTAAAGGACAAGAAGGCTGGAGGTCACTGAGGTTTCAAGCCTGGGCGAGCAGACAATGGTGGCACTGCTATTAACAGAAAGACAGAAGTCAGAATGGGAAGTTAGCTGGAGGGAAAACATCACAGTAAGAAACAAGACTAGAGTTACACAGGGAGCTGAGGACATCAGATTCTAAAAGAACATATGAAAAAGGTGTAAGAAAGACTAGAAAACCAGGGAGTTAGAGAAGTGCTGAAAACTTGTAAATATAGGATCAGAGAGGTTCAAACTCTAAATAAGGTCTTGTCACATAGTAGGTACTGGAGAAAGATTTGTTGTTGAATGCAACAGAAGAGGCTTGTGGGGAATTCTCCCCTCTATAACACACTGCCTTTTAGGATTTTTGCTGCTTGGATATGTCATGTGAAAAGCAAAGAAGGAAGAGCCATTCAGACACTGTTTTGCTTCTGTCTTTTCCAGAAAAGGAGAGTGTTCTTTAATCTGCTGATGTAGAACAAACACAGAGTAGAGACAACAGTAACGCAAGATGGGTGAGGAGCTATTACAGTACCCCATCACCTTAAGTGAATTCAAGTCCAGCGAAGTACAAAGCCTGGGGTGTTAAATGAAGGGAGAATCAGCATCAGGGTTGTAGGCTGTGTTTATCTGGCTACATCTCGAGTAGGGAATTTAGCAAGGAAGTTAAAAGCATAGGCTTTGTAGTCAATGAATTAGGTTCAAATTCTGACTTGGCCACTTTGGTAGCTATGTGACTTTTGGTAAGTCACTTGATCTCTATGGACTTCAGTCTTCTACATGTGTAAAAATGGGGACAACAATCCCTATCTCACAGAATTACTGTGAGGATTAAGTGAGATAAAGCATGCAAAGCACTTGGTTAAGTGACTAGCCCCTAGTAAGTGCTCCAAATCATGAGTAATCTATTAGTGATGGGTCAACCACATAATTGTGAATTTCCATGATAGAGAAGTGATAAATAAGAGTCTCTTTGACCTTTAGAATAGTCGCTGGCATATAGTGCTCAATATATATTTGTTAATGAATGAATGAGTGAATGAATGAATGAATAAATAAATAAATAAATATTAGATGCTCAAATGTCAAATTCAGAGGCATGAAGAGTCTGATTTATATATGTAAGCCAGGAGGGAATAGAATACTCTTTCCCATCCTTATTTTTTTTTAAGATTTTATTTATTTATTTGACAGAGAGAGACACAGCCAGAGAGGGAACACAAGCAGGGAGAGTGGGAGAGGGAGAAGTAGGCCTCCCGCGGAGCAGGGAGCCCGATGCGGGGCTCCATCCCAGGACCCTGGGATCATGACCTGAGCCGAAGGCAGACGCTTAACGACTGAGCCACCCAGGCGCCCCCCCATCCTTATTTTTAATGGCTACAAAATACTTCATTGTTTGGCTGAATTGTTGTTCCCATAACCCTTCCCTTATTTTGATTTAACCATTTCTCTGTTTAGGACATTTCGGTTGTTTGAATTCTTTACCACTGTAAAGAGCAATGAGATAAGCATGTTGGTGTATATACCTGTGCTCCCTCTGCTGATTGTTTTCCTGTGCTACATACACTCCCAGCAATCAAAGTAAAGTTTTGAAGTAGTTATCATTTTCCAGAAAATTTACACTCCTTCTAGCAGTGTATTAAAATGCAAATGTCTGTTTAAAATATCATGTACTATAAGAATGTAGGGAAGCCACTTGAGGGAAATTCTTCCTGAGTGATGTAACATCTCTCAGATCCTGAGGATAGGGTAGAGTAAATAGTCAACTGAGCTCTTGGGCTCTGACGGTCAGGATATATCTGTTGTCTCTGCTCTGCAAAGACAGGGCATGCGTGTTCTTCAGATAGGAAACAGGAACTCTGTGCGTGGGCCTAAAAGGGAGTGTGGGCTTTGAAACAGGAAAAAAGAAGCCTACTTCTGATAGTGAAAGAGACACATTGCTGTGCTGGTCTGATCACCCATATGCTACTAGGTCAAACTGTTCCTCTATTCCCACTCGCAGTTATACCTGTCCTCGATTATATTTGCAGTTTTATTTTGTTTTCCAAGTGTTTCATGCTCTTTTCTAAGTGTTCCTAAGCTCTTTTATTTTTTTCCATTTCAGGAAATGGGCACACACTTAGATATTTGAATCAGAAACCAAGCAGTTATTTGATACCTTCCTCTTCCTCACTCCCTACATCCAGTCCTTCACCAAGTTCTGTCTCTCTAAAATATGTCTTTTTTTAGATTAAAGATTTTATTCATTTATTTGAGAGTGAGAGAGCATAGGAGCAGGGGAAGGAGCAGAGGAGGAGGAGCAGAGGGGGCAGGAGAAGAAGGCAGAAAGAAACTCAAGCAGACTGCCCACGGAGCAGGGAGCCCGATGCCAGGTTCATCTCATGACCCTGAGATCACAACCTGAGCTGAAACCAAGAGTCTGATGCTTAACCAACTGAGCCACCCACGTGCCCCTAAAATATTTCTTTAACTGTTTACTTTTCTTGACTTCAACATTCCAGTCCAAGCCACCATCATCTCTTGCTCAGACTACAACAATGCTCTCCCACCTCATTTTCTTGTTCCCATTCTTGCTTCTGCAAGTTAATTTCAAATGTTTGGTGTAAGTAATCTTTTAAAAACTCTAATCATCGGGCGCCTGGGTGGCTCAGATGGTTAAGCATCTGCCTTCGGCTCAGGTCATGATCCCAGGGTCCTGGGATTGAGTCCCGCATCGGGCTCCTTGCTCGGCGGGGAGTCTGTTTCTCCCTCTCCCTCTGCCTCTCCCCCTACTTGTTCTCTCTCTGTCTCTCTCGCAAATGAATAAATAAAAAATCTTAAAAAAAATAAAAAAAATAAAAACTCAAATCATCTCTCATGATTTCTTTTTGTACTTAAAGTCCAAGGTCCTTAACTTGACCCATAAAGCTTTGCATGATTTGACCCCTGCTCACTTCTCCAGCCCACCTTTTGGCTCTCTCTCCTTGCTTTCTCTGTTTCAGTCACAATGGCTTTTCCATTCTTGATTTTTCTCTCAGCTCTTTCCAGGCTTGGGGTCTTCACACATGCCTTTCCCAGGCACTCTCTTCCCGCCACCCTTCACCTGGCTAATTCCCATTCCCATAAACTGGCAGGTCTCAATTTAAATGTCATTTCACAGAGAGGCTTTCTGGCAGCAGCCTCTTCTTTTCCTTTATAAACTTCTCACAATTAAGTATTTATATACATAATTACATTTTATAATTATGTAATTTATATATAATTCTAAGTTATAATTATATATAATATACATAGTGTGTATATATATATAAAATTCTGTGTGTATATATATATTTATATATATAAAATTTATATATATATATATATAAAATTCTGTCTTTTTTATTACAGAGTAAGTTTCTTGAGGCCATGGATAATGTTTATCATGTTACCATTGAATATCTACAGTTTAGCAAGATGTCTGGCACAGTCTAGGTGTTCTTCATTTAAATAAACCATAATGTCCAGCCCAGTGTTAGAGAAGTGTTAAAATATAGTTACTTATGGAAAATACCCTGTTTCCATTTAAATGTACAAAATTAGGGATTTTCAAGTTTACTGTCATATAACTGAGTTCAGGAAGTATTCTCTATAGCATGAAACCAACAAAGGCAAGTCATATTCAATCCACATTTCAGAGTATTTCCAGTTTTTTCCTGTCCTCTTGAGAATTGGGACAGGTTTGGGATCAAGGTAAGATTAAGCTAGCTACTTTTCTGTGGTTGGTGCCTTAACACTCTTCTACTTCCTCACCTGGGGACATGGCTACTTACCAGCAGGCTGTGACACAAGGCATGGAAGTTCTGCTGATTTGTCTCCAGCTCATCCCAGTCCAGCTGCCAACAGCTTGTGGGTCTGAGGATGAAGGGCAGTCCATATGTCAATGACTCGCAGATCCCATTGGAATTTAGAGCCCTGGCAAGAGACAATGGCAGTGAAAGTCTCCTCAGTGATATACAGAACCTTGACATCAGATCAGATTAATTCAGCTTATATCTAAGACTCTACTGTGAAATCCTTTGGGTTAGGGCCTGTGAATTATTTACCTTAGCATGGCCAGCACCTAGCAAAGTATCTGGCACATAGCAGATTCTCAAAGCCTGTTAATCAATGAATGAAGCATCATCATGAAAAGCCATCTAGACTCTGATGGATGTTTCTTCTCCTGAGCTTATTCCATTCCAAGTGACTTTTCTGGGGATATTTCCAGAACACCCCTGCTATAGTAACCACGTACCATAATAGTATGCTAACCGTCTGCATCCCAGTCCTGGCTCTCTTGTGGCAAGTGCTGAAAGAGGATGCATTTAAGAAGAGGATGAATTGGGGTACCTGGGTGGCTCAGTCAGTTAAGTGTTCAACTCTTGATTTTGGCTCAGGTCATGAGCTCAGGGTAGTGAGATTGAGCCCTGTGTTGGGCTCCGTACTGGGCATGGAGCCTGCTTAAGATTCATTCTCTCCCTCTGTCTCTCTCACCCCACCCCCATCCTCACTCTTGGTCTCTTAAAAAAAAAGAAGAAGAAGAGAATAAATTTAAGAAAGTTCCCCAGCAGCATCTGCTGTCACAAACCCATGGACAAGCTTACTCAGATACTTGTGCACAGGCACTGTGATAGGAACTAGGAAGCAGTAAAAGTGGTCTTTGCCATCATTGCTAATTTTACCCAAGAACTGGTTCCCCTGGAGGCAGGAATTCTAGTACTTAGAGAAATGGCAAGGCAGGAGTAGATCCTATCTACCCCCTTGTTCCTTGAAGGTCAGACCTCTGTCCTGAGGCCTAAACACAGTAAGGTATTCAATACACAGCTGCTGAATAGATAAACACTGCTGATCTTGTTTTTCTTTGTGTTCAGAGACTTTCTGGATTTCCAATCCTCATCCAGGTTTCAGAATGTCCTACTGAGGCATATCTTCCACCATCTGCCCATTTGTCTCCACATGCTGAGCAGCCTGAGCTTGCTTTTTCATTCCCATAACTAGTTTCTGCTTTGGAACTGACTCCCACCTGCCTGATACTTGGAGATGCCCTCTACCTCAGGACTTCCTAGTTGGAACCAGGAAGAATAAGCATTTGCATGGACTGGGGAAATTCCCTTGTCCCATACTTTATCACCCGGAGCTTGTAACGAGAGGCTGACGACTGGGAGGCCATCTGGTAGAGTGTGCTGAAGTCTCCTTTGGGGTCATCCATTCTCAAGGAGCCATCAGCTGTGCCAGGGAGAAGGGATGGGCTGAGGAGTCGCTCTTGGAGATCACATTTCAGGCACACTACAATAAAAATGGCATTGGGGGAGGGATAGTCTGTCACAAGTTACCTCAGGCTATGTGATTAAGAGACAACATCTGCTACCCATTCCACATCCGCCAGGCAAGTAAGGCTTGGGAGGAGGCAGGAGAGGGGAAAGGGGAAAGTATGACGGGTTTGGAAAGGCAGAGCAGGTCTGGACCTAACAGTGTTGCTCAATACAATAGTTAACTTATTTTCTGCATCTGATATGGTTTTTACTTATTTTACTTCTGGGCTGGCTGAGCAGTTGCCTCATAGTGAGAGATCTAGCTTGTGATCCAGTCTGAGAGGAACATGGGCCCTCTTTGGAGGGGGCAGCCAACACTATAATATGCAGAGGCCCTTTGCAATCACAGATGGAAATCTTGCCTCTGCTGCTTCCCTCTGGCTAAGCTTTGGCAAGACTATAGGTCAGATGAAGAGCAGGAAAGCAGAAGTCAGGGAGTCAGCTGACAGCTACTGTTTCTCTGTGGGCTCTTCTAGGGACATTGAGGGGAAGGAGAGGAATAAGTTCCTGAAATGGTTTATTTTTTAATTCCCCAAAGAAACCTGAAGGTAGAACCTTCTGGAGCATCACTGTGGCAATAGACAACTGTTCTGAGGGGGCCTCACCTAGGTATGAATTATTCATCAAGGTATTATGCCCTTCTATATTAAGGTTCTGCTCTGGCAGGTACATTCACACGCCACAGTGTACAATGTACTGTTGCACTAGGCTTGCAGCCTAGTGCAGAAAAACTACAAAGTTTTTCAATAAAATGTATACCAGGTTTGAATACTGTTAACAAACATGACGTAAAAACAAAAGGAAAAATAATGTAGAAAAAGAGATAGGATGGCAGAATTAAAGGTCAGATCCATCTGGCCCTCCTGGGCCCAGCAATCAGATGTAGACATTAATTCTGGGTAAGACAGTCGTGGCCTGCTGTGTCTCAGAGCCCAGGAAGTCAGTAGGAGGGGCTTGGCCTAGGACTCCCCTCGTTTCCTCTGTGCCTGACTTCTCCATTGTTAGGTATCTGGGCTTTAGGACTGGAGAGCTGTGTTCATCTGGCTGAGATTCTCAACTCTGGTTGATAAGAATCACCTTTTTATTAAGAAACTTTTAAAAGATACTGATGTCTGGGCCCTACCTCACACTAGTGAAAGTGGGATCTCTGGAGATGGAATCAAGATACTGGTATTTTTAAAAATGTGATTCTTACTGCAGCCAGGGCTGAGAACTACTGGCACTATAATCTCGACCGTATTCCAAAGCTGAGAAAACTGTCTTACCAGGACTAGAGTCTAGAATCAGGTGTGCTTCTCACCACCCTGAACCCAGATGCAGAGGTAGCTAACTCCAAACCCAAGAAACGAGAAAAGACACTCATCTGAAGCTGACTGTGCACTCTGTCAGAAGGAGGCCTCTGAGGGAAGCACCTGGGGGGGGGGGGGGGGCCCTGGGCAGCTACAGAAGAAGGTGGAGTGGGTGGAGAACCTTTTAAGGAGTCAGAGTGAACATCTGAGGAGCAGTCCTCAAAAGATTCTAGAGTAGAAGAGCTCAGTGTTCTGTTTTGTTTTGTTTCATTTTTTATAGTGAGCCACATTTCCAGAAATCCAGTGTGGTAATGCAGCAGTTTTGTTTTTTTTTTTTAAACAATGGATAACTATTGTATGGTCTTTATTGTAGTTGTATAAACTCTCAGGTTGGTCATACCCACCATGGAGGAGGGCTACTTTCCCCAGATCTCACTCCAATTGTGCCTGAACATCTGGATTCCAGTATAGGCCTCCCTAGTAGAAGAGCTGATGAATCTGGGTCTGAGTTCCACCATGCACCCAGAAGACCTGCAAATTTCTGAAAAATGATTGCAGATGGAGATAAACATTCTGGCTCTGACCCTGGTACTGAAAGCCATGGAAAGAGGGAGGGAAAAGGCAGAGAAATTCTCAACTGTACCATGGGAAAGTGTTGTACAACAGTTGAAGAAAGTCTGGTTGCTGGAGTTCCTGGCTTTGGAGGGCCCCAGCCCTCCTTATGAGAGAAGTGCCCAGCATGAGGCAGCATCTTTGTTCACAACTGCCCAGCATGAAGCAGGTTGTGTAGTAGGTAAGGGTCCGGGTTCTGGAGGCAGATAGACCTGGGTTTGATGAATATTTTCTGGGCTGAGTGTGGTCAAATGTATAAAATATAGATTTCTAATCTTAAGAGTTAAGAGTGGGCTCTGGAGTTGCATAACTTCAAATTCTGCTATTAATTTTTCTGTGCTGTCCTGTGAAAATGTCTAATTTCTCTAAGTCTCAGTTTTCTCATCTGTAAAACAGGGAGATAATATCGGTATTTAATTGATTCTAAGACACATTCCCCCCCCACATACTAACATCTCTATATGTGTCTTAAAATTGCCATTGGCCAGACACACACTCCAAACACTTACTTACTACTTTAACTTCTCAGTAAGGATAAAATAATATTTCTAAGTGATAGAAAGCACTATGTCACGTTTAATTGGCAGTGCTTTTCTTTCTTGGTGGTACATAAAGTAATGGTGTATCTCATAACTGATAGCATCTTAGATTCAATGACATACAGTAACAGTACCTGCTTCATGGTGGTGGGTGAAGATGAAATGGGATAAGGCAGAAAAGGAGGTAGCATAGTGCTTGGGGAAAAATAGATATGAAGTGGTCCAGAAGAGGGGACAGAGAGGAATTGGCACCATCAGCCTTGGACAAAAGGAGTGGAAAGGAGGTCCAGGGAAGATTTACACACCAAGGAAAGACAGATTGAAATCAAGGTAAGTCATCAAGGGCATCCCAGGCCCTAGGTTGAAATGGGGGTGTGGGGAGGGGTGGCGGGTAAAGATCTGATGGCTATCCCCAGAAAGAAAGGACGACCATGTGTCTTCCCCTTTCGGAGTGGGAGTCTATACCCATATTTCTCATTGAACTCCCCCTGCCTCTACTAGTTGGGCTACTAGTTGTCCTCTGTGGGGCCTGCTTCTGTAGTTGCTTTAGTTTACCTCAGTTTGATGTCTTCCTGTCCAGAAGACCTCTATTTAATCTTGGTTTAATCTTTGTTCTTTACCTTCTCACAGGCCCTGTTGATAATTTTTAAGGTACCAGCATGCCTCAAGTTATTATGTCAATAATATCTACTACAATTCAAAATGAAAAACTTGAGAAAAATATATGATTCATTGTGCTCTTATTTAGTTTGGGTGCTGCCCTATTATTGAGGTACCTAAGTCTTTGCTCCTAAACTAACTGGCCCTTGCTGTCTAGGCCTAATTAGGTTCAGTTTTTCTTAACTGTGGTTACTTTTTAGAAGTTCTTTTCTTACTCTTTGTGCTTACACTGCACAGCCTCCTTCAGTCTCTAAACCTCAACTACTGTGTATTCTGACAACTCACAAATCTAGAATCTTAATCCAAGACTAGGATAATCATAGCCTATATAATAGGTCTTCTGGGGGTGTGTACTTGAATCATCTCTGGCTCTGGAAATGTTGCTGAAACATCGTGAAGGAAGAAGAAGATGGATATGCTCTTGGTCTGTTCCATTGTTATGTAGCCAGGCTTTGAAGAAGATCTCCATGCTGACAACATCATTGTCTATAGTCTGAAGGTCAATGTCAGTTCCCAGGATAGAACTCTCTGCAGAAGAAAGGGAATTAGTGGGTAAAGTGTTTAATTCTTTAATTGTAAACTTTGAAAAATGTAAAACTTTAAATGTACCCATCTTTTGACCCGCCAATTCTATCCCCTGGATATCTAACTTAGAGACATTCTTAGATAGTACACATGGACACATATGCAAAGATATTCAGTACAGCATTGTTGTAATAACAAATAATCAAAACCTGAAGCAGGAAGCAATTCAAATACCCATCAATAGGGGAATGTTTAAATAAATTATGGCACACTCAACCTTTGGAGAATTACACAGCTGTTAACAAAGTAAAGTTAAATGCACTGGCAAGGAAAGCTGAGAGATAGTACGTAAATAAAGTTGTAGAACAGATGTATAGTATGAACCATTTACATAAAAATAAAGTAAAAAAAAATAAAAATGAAACCCTTGGCCTAAGTACATATATATGTATGTAAATGCATTTTACAAAGGTTTGGAAGGCTACCATCAAACTGTTAATGGTGGGAAGGAGTGGAAACAGGGCAGAGTTCTAAAATACATTTCCTTTTTATTATTCATACTTCTGTTTAAATTTTGTTGTATTTAGGGTGCCTGGGTGGCTCAGTTGGTTAAGCGACTGCCTTCGGCTCAAGTCATGATCCTGGAGTCCTGGGTTCGAGTCCCGCATTGGGCTCCCTGCTCAGCAGTGAGTCTGCTTCTCCCTCTGACCCTCCCCTCTCTCATGCTCTATCTCATTCTCTCTCTCAAATAAATAAATAAAATCTTTAAAAAAATTTTGTTGTATTTAAAAAACACTCTGGAATACAAAAACAGCCAAAAAAATAATACAGCAATGCAAGTTAAATACTTAGTTAACAAGGGGGAGCTTCAGCTTCTTCAGCTATTTATTTATTTTAAAAGATTTTATTTATTTATTTATTTGAGAGAGATCAAGAGAGCACAAGCAGGGGGAGTGGCAAAGGGAGAGGGAGAAGCAGGCTCCCCGCTAAGCAGGGAGTCCAACGACGACCTGGGGCTTGATCCCAGGACCCTGGGATCATGACCTGAGCTGAAGGCAGATGCTTAACCAACTGAGCCACCCAGGTACCGCTTCTTCAGCTCTTATTTCACGGTAAAAATGTATTTAATTATTACTTTTGCTATAAAAAGCGTAAAGGAAAAAATTGGTGCACTCCCAGGCTTCACCTCAGATACAGATGATACAAATTTGTCACTGGCATGCTGTAACTCACAAGTGTAATTAGCAGCCAGGAAGATAGAAATGGTCTAGTGGAGTGTGCTTTGATTCCATATCTGAGTGAATGGAACTGGGTATGTGGGGAGATGAGGCTTTGCTGGTCTACTTCCTGTTTTAGGCAACACTCACTCAGGCACTGGGGTCTGGGTCTGCAGGTAAAGGTTATCAGCAAAAGCCAAATGTAAGGTAGTAGAAGAAGCAGAGAGAGAGGAAATGAGGCAAGAGCTGGAAAGAAACAGAAGAGGAACCTGATTTTTTTTGCCTTACCATGAAGGACTCTCTGAAATACTTTTACAAAGAGCCTAAGAAAATTGATGAATTAACTTCTGTGTATGACTCACAGACCCCAGGGAGAAGACTGGTTTATTTCTAGAACGACATTCCTGAGGACGAAGTGGCAGAGGTACCAGACTCTCCAAACGGAACAAAGGGCTTCAGTCCAGCGTGTTGGTACCCACACAGGGAGTTGTGGTGAGACTCAGATGACTTCATGTTATACTTAATGACTTATTCTGTAGCTGAAAAGGGGCTCCAAATGCATTTCTCTTTGACCAGTATGATTAAAACTCTGCCATCTTCCATGAACAGTTCTGAGGATTCATTAACCAAGTATTTCATTCATTCTATCAAGCAGTAATTTTTTACTGTGTACTATATAGAATATGAAATATTGTACAGGGTACAAAGATTATATGATACTCTTTTCTCTTACGGAGTTTGTAAAGCTACATTATTCTTGACCATTCCTCCTCAAACTGTCATCTGACACATTATGTTTTAGGTACTACAGTGATAAATATGAAGTCACTGCCCAAGAAATGTTCCTCGTGAGTAAAGAGAAAGTATCTTTTTAATAACGTGAATTTTATTTTGTCACAGGCAAAACATGAAGTAACTTAATTTTACTGAGCCTGAGGCCTGGACTTCAATTTGAGTAACAAGTACGGAAAGAACTGAACCCAAAACTTCAGTGAGACAAAATCAGTATTAAAGCATGAGAAGGCAGATACAAAACGAAAGAAATGGAATTGAGCGAAGGATCTCCAAAAGTGGAGAGCATAATATGGTTTAGATTTCAAACAACAGATTTTGCAGAAGAGAAATGTTTCTTTTCTTTTCCCCAGGGAAAGGGTGGAAGATTAGAAACTCCTACCATGGCAGTATAAGACCACAGCAAGTTCTCTCCCACCAAAAACCTGGAAATAGAAAAATAGGACTTCCTTAGATAGTTAAACTACAGTATCAACACAGAGTAGTGAGGCCAGTGAAAAACAGTTACCTTAAGAAAAGAGAATGGTTTACAGACCAGAGCAAGATTTGGCTACAGCCTATGGATGAGACTGGCTTATCCAAAGAATGAATGTGTCCATTAGAAGGGGAGAGGGTTGGCCAGAAATGGAGCACAGAGAAGGGGAGCAACAGAAGAATGCCCAGGCAGTGCCCACCAAAGTGTGGCTCAGAGGAGAGGGCATGCTGGCTCAGTGACATGTCCTGATGGCAGGATGTGTTTGTCAAGTCTCTGCTGTTCTTGATGTTATGGTGGCTATGGTTCTCTGTCTAAGATATTCTGACTTATACTTTGGTCTTGAGCTTGGTAAGGTGAGTCTATCTCTGAGACACTACTGACAAAATCAACTTTCTGATCCTGCAAAGCTGAAGAACCAAGCCTGAAACATGGTGCCTTTATGAAGGAAAATACCAGTGTTCCCTGCAGATACCCCATCAATGTTCCCGAAATTTTTTCCAACTTCTTAACCTACAGGTTCTTGGGAGAGCCACAGAGCTTCTTCCTTTGCAGAAGTTCTCATGTAATCTCCATAGAGGCTCCATGCTTCAGATTTAAGTCCACAGTTTTGCAGGCTCAGAAGGGAGTCAGCAGCTTCTGAGGGATAGTCACATTGGCCAAGCTAAAGACTAATGTGGAAACCAGAACAGACTAGAGGGAGAACTTTTTTTTTTTTTTAATCCATTTTCTCTGTCACTGGTTCAGGCATTCTTTTCCTTAGGTCTGGATCAGAGCAGTAAGCATCTTAATTGTCCTATCACTTCCATTCCTTCCCCTCCACTATTTCTTATGTACTACTACCAGTTAATTTTTCTAAAACATGGTTTCATCAGTTCCCTCCTTTGCTAAAGAGCACATACTGCCTTCCTTGGTCATTTTCTTTATTTCCCTCACTCACCCTGTACCACTTGGTTCTACTCATTATTCCTCAAATATCCCACTCTTCCCTTCTGTGATGGCTCATAAGGTTCCTCCCCACCCTCTGCTATTGAGATCCTATATGCCCATTCATTCCCCATTCCCTAGCTCGGTAGCTAGCTTAGAGCTGAAGCTTAGCAAATGCCTGTTGAGTTCAACATTTGCTCCCCCTCCTCAGCTCTCATTATTTTTCCTGTAACTCTTCTGCTTCAACTAAATTAGTCTCTTTGCCACACGACTTCCTTCCTTCCTTAGCACTTTTATTACTGTCAATCCATGGCTCGCTCCTCCCCCAAAACTCAACTCCAAACTGACTCTGTCCTGGAAGTTATGCTTAATTATATCCTCCCTTATTTGGGTTTAATCATCAACTCCTGGGTATCTGTGGGCTTCATTTGGGCAATACTAATTACTCTTGCTAATCTGTTTCTTCAGAAGGGTTTTCTTCTCTTTCTGTGAGTTTATGAAAAGTGGCGGGATGTGATGGGAAGAGCAGGGTTATATGACTTTGGACAAAGTGGGGATGGTACAACCTATTTCATAGTTATATGAGGCATAAGAAGTGAGATGATTATCTATGAATGGCATGCCTAGGTCCAACAAATGGCATTTTTCCCCTTTTTCTCTCATCAACAAAATGATTTGCTCTTACAGGATAAGAATGTGCTTTCCTTTTTTTTAAAACTTTCCTCCCCATCATTTCCCTTGGTGACTGTTTTCTCCCCACCACTGACATATGTAAGAACACTAAAGGCAGAGAATTGTGTTCCTCACAAATACAATGAGATGTGCTAAACTGGGCACCTGGGTGGCTCAGTTGATTAAGTGTCTGCCCCCTGCTCAGGTCATGATCCCAGGGTCCTGGGATCCAGTTCTGCATCGGGCTCCCTGCTCCGCAGGGAGTCGGCTTTGCCCTCTGCCCCTCCCCCCCTTGTGCTCTCTTTCCCTCCCTTTCTCTCAAAAATAAATAAATAAAATCTTAAAAAAATAGGCAATGTGCTAAATCTGAGGAATGGGGAAGAGACTTGTCACTTCTCAGATGTTGAAGAGCAGCTCCCACTTTGACTGGCGAGCAGGGCACCAGGCACTGAATGAGCCGGTCCCACTGACAGTATGAAACAGGAAGGTTACCAGAGTGAGTGGGGCTCTTAAGTGTTTGGGTGGTGAGGACAAGAAAGGACTGGTTCACTGAAGCCAGGCTGCAATCAGCATTCACATTCAGTGTTTGGACTTGCCCTGCCCTCCTGTGGCCACAAGTTGTGACACCTTTTACTGAGCTCTTGCGGAAGGGCCACAATAATAGGAAAAACTAACAGAGCCAAATGATTGAAAATAAGGTAATGCCTAAAGCAGTCCTTCTCAGAATTCAACCCTAAAATAAGGTTGCAAAATGGAAATGTGTTTAAGATAGAATGTACCACTTTATTTAAAATTTTTTTTTTACATTTTATTTATTTGAGAGAGAGAGAATGAGAGACAGAGAGCATGAGAGGGAAGAGGGTCAGAGGGAGAAGCAGACTCCCCGCTGAGCAGGGAGCCCGATGTGGGACTCGATCCCGGGA